CCCCCCGGCTCTCCCCTGCTCCCATGTGCCGTTTCCTGCTTCAGGGCAATCCCGAGGAGCCCACGCGTTGCCCCCCCCCCCCTCCCCGTCCCGTGCGCAGGGGAGAAGACGGCTACCCGCCTTTGACGGCTTTCGCAGCCCGGCCGACCGCGCGGGGCTGCTTGAGAACCCTGATCTGACCACGCTGGCCAGGGAAGCTGGCAGCAGGATGGGGGCCGCCGATGCAAGAGCCACAAGCGAGCAGAGCACCAGGCCGGCTGCCACGATGCCCAGGGCGACCCCGGCCTGGTCGAATCACGCGCGTCACGAGACACACGGGAATGTCTACCAGGGGACCTCGATTAAGGCACTCCGGGCCGAGGGATCTCCTCATACTTATACGGTGGCACATGCGCTGTCAGGAGAGTCGGCATCTCCTCCGGCTGCTTGGGCTGTTTGCTGTTGTCCTGCCGCGGGTGCTTGACCTGCGTGCGCCCCCCCCCCCCCCCCCCCCCGCCCCCCCCCCCCCCCCCGGGGCGGCTGACTATCAGTTCCCCTGCCCGTTGGCTGGCTGCGCCGCGCTCGTCTGTTTTTTTTTTGTGATGAGCCGCCCCCCGGGCGACGAACGCACTCTTTGTTAAAAACCCCACCGCCGGTCGGTCCTTGCCGGGGGGGACGGTGCTCGGCCCGCGGTGATCGCTGTTCACCAACTACTTCGAGCGGAAGGGAGCGGAGGTGGTTCTGTAAGATCGCCAGAGTGCGTGCTCTGCCCATTTTTCAGCGACGTGCGAGGCGCCCCTCGACCCACGCGCCGCGTCGCAGGGGGAGGGCGAGCAACCATGCATCTCCCGTGTTCCTCCCCCGCCGCCTCCTCCTCCTCCTTCTCCGCCGGCCGATCTATCGATCTTCCTCTTTCTTCTGTCCCCCCGGTGCATCTGCACCTGGCCTGCCTCCTCCCCCGTCATTCGTGTTCCGCCACTCTCTCTGTCTCTCCCTGTCTCTCCCCCTGCAGCCGTCGTCATCAGGCGTCCTTGCCCACTGGTGCCGTGCACCGCCAAAGGCACACTCGCGGTTCCTGGCTTCTGCGATTGATTGATCTTGCTGTTGCGGCAGAGGTCCCCCTGCCCCCGCCGCCCGTTCCACCATGTCTTTGGGTCAGGCCCTGGCCATTCGGACTTCCAAGTATACGGAGTTCATCTCCTGCTTGATGGCGTGCATCGAGCGGCACCGGGATGCGTTTGTAAGCGGCTCGGCGGCCCTCTTCCTGCCAAGTGACGAGTGCGCCAATTCCCGACTCTTCGCATTAATCCCTGCTCCCCCGCCACTGACGGTCTTGCCGCTTTGCCCACCTGCGGCTCCTCCGCCCGGAATGCTGCGACCAAAAAAAGGCTCATTTTCCTGCAGCAGATGTTCATTGTCTTCGATCTCATCCGCCCGTGTGCCTATGACAATGAGACCCTCATCCCCGACTATGAGGCCGCCAAGCCTCTTCTCAACCCGCGAATTGTGCGCGATCTGACCCCACAGTGAAGCATGCGCCATGTCCCGAATTGTCTCCTGACAATTGTACACTACCCCCCCCCCACACACACGTATACGCGCACTCGCGCAAACAACCGTTGATGCCATTTCACTTTCGGCCCTCCTCAGAGGGAGGGCGGGGCAATCGTCGAGTTCTTCCAGCTCTTCTCGCGCCTCTATCAGGTTCGAATCTCTTCGATGAATGGGTGCGTAGCTGAGCTCTTTCTCTCTCTCTCTCTCTCTCTCGTGAGATATTGCCTGGTCCCCCCCACCTGGGTCTCGCAGCCAGCTGACTGCTCACTGAAACTCGACGTCCGGTCCAGACTTCTCTCCCGGCCTTCCTCGATCAATCTCCTCCTTTTCCCGAACCTAGCACACCTGGAAATTAGACAGGTGCGCCTTCTCAATGTGGTCCCGTCCTTTGTTTCCCGAATCCCCCTCTCTCCCCCCCCCCCTCCAGCCGCTCCTAACGCCCGCCTTTGATAGATCTCCCCGGTAGCTCTGCGCGAGTTGGACTCCTATCGTAGTGCTCTCGTGTCGCTCTCCTGCCAGGAGAGCCTTTCAGCGATCTGTGAATTGCTGATTGGTATGCCTGCTGCCACTCCCATCGCCCATGCGAAAATTCTCGTCCTTTACCTCGCTACCCCTCCTCGCCTCCCTTGCCCACTGACGGCCCGTTTGGCGCCCCCTTTCTCTTGCCCCTCGCGACAGTGCCCATCCTCGGCGAGCAGGCCCTCCAGGAGGACCCGTCAACCGGGAATGCGGGGCCATCGCAAAAGGGCACCACAAATCCGGCGAAGGGCTCGCGCTTCCGGAAGTCCACCTCACGCGTCGCCGGTGACTCCATCGGATCAGGGGGCGCTCCGGTTCCTCGGCATGGGGGGCGCTTTGCCACAATCCCGACGAATGAGGATGGCACCCCGGCCGCGGTGCCGGCCAATGTGCAGCCTCCCCGGCGACGAGCCCTCTGGCCGCAACTCCGGCGGCTGGATCTCTCGCGCAATGCCATCCGAGCCATCGACCCGGCGCACCTCTTTGCCGAGCATGTGCCGCAATTGGAGTTCCTGTCATTGGCATTCAACCGGCTGACCCGAGTGGAGCACTTGTCCGGGCTGCCGCGGCTGTCGATGTTGGACCTGTCACACAATCGCCTTGAGCGCTTGGGGAACCTGCGTTTGCACCTGGGGAATGTGACGCACTTGTCGCTGCGTCACAATTGCCTGTCGTCCCTTCGAGGTCTGGAGCGTCTGTATCAGCTGGAGGAGCTGGATGTGCGATTCAACTGCCTTTGGGATTCGGAGGGTGATTTCCGTCTGCTAGCCGGCTTGCCATTGCTGGAGCGTGTCCACTTGGCCGGCAACCCGCTGTGCTTGGTGGAGGGCTACCGGGCCAAGCTCTTCGCGTGTCTCGGCCCCGGCCGTGCGGAGGACCTGGTGCTCGATGGCCGGCGATTGGAATGGGACGAGCGCATTGTGGTCGAAGCACACTGGGCCCAGGGGTCCGAAACGTCGGCCATCCGCGCCACCAGCCGGTCGCTGCCGGCCGTGGTGGATGACCGCACTGCGTTGGAGGCCGCAGCCAAGGTGGCCGCGGCCGCGGCCGGCAGTGATCGCCTGCTGGAAACCCTTGGCGATGGCGAGGATGACGTTGGCCTGGGACTGCGACTGTCTCTCCACGGGGGCGAGGGTATTGGCAGCATGGCCGCCGTGGCGGCAGCTGCCGGGTCCGGCAACACCAGTGGCGACCTTGCCCGGCAGTACTTGGCGACGGCCCTGTCAGCGACATACTCGGCGCCGGGGCTCCCTTCACCGAATGAGACCTCCGGAATGGCCGCAACCATGATGTCGGCCACGGCTCCGCTCAGCACGAACCCCATGCTGACGCCGATCGCCGAGGCAGATTGCGCGGTGTACAGCAGCACCCCGCCGGGCCCCATGGGTCTCGGGGCAGTCGAGCTGGTTGGAGCGACCGCCGTGGCTGCAGGTGCGGCGGCGGCGGCGGCGGCGGCGGCGGCTGCGGCGGCGGCTGCCAGCCCGACTACCGGTCGAACCTGGCGTCGACCCTCGGATGCGGTGGATCCCGCGGTTCCCGGTGCCATCGGTCGCACCAGTTTCCGGACGTCAACCGCCGTGCCGGCATCTCCGTCGACACCGCGCCTGCGCCGGCCACGAAAGCCAGTGAGCATTGTCATTGAGGACTCGCCCCTTGAGTCACTACGCTGTGCGTGCCTTCCCCTGGCCGAGCTGCCTCTCATGCTCTTCCCGATTGATGTCCTCGCTGTTTGTGTTACTTTTTTCTCCCCAATCACCTGCTGACATGCCAGTGGGCCGTGTGCCAAATGTGCCATTGTCTAGCTCCTGGTCTGCCGCGACCTGGCCAGCTGCTGGCGGATGCTCGCACCGAGAATGACCTCTCGGCCGGGGCATTGGCCGTGTCGCAGGTGTTGCCGGCCGAGGAGCCGGAGATGCCGGGCCCTGGTGACCTGCCGGAGAGCCCGGTCGGTCCTCTCCCTGCTGGCGGGGAAGCAACTTCCAAGACATCAGTCCCGGTGCGAAATAGCCTCGTTGGCAGTGTGGCCACCGGGCACTTGGAAAAGATGCTGGCCCTACGGCAGCAGGTGGGCGACAATTGGCTGGAGGCATACCGGAATATGTCGCGCGCGCCTCGTCTCGAGGAGTCCCTGTTGGATGTGGAGCATCGGGCGCAGCTTCTGGAGGAGCAGCCGCATCTGGCCTTGCAGCTTTCATCCTTTGGATCTCTGGGAATCGATGCCTTTTCATATGGTCCAGCTGGCCAGCTTGGATCCGGGTCGGGCGAAGCCATTCAACCCCATGAGTTCATGCCGGTGGCTCCTGCTTCCTCTGGGCGGTATCTGGACCCGGAGGCCGAGCCGGCGGACGCCAGCTCGACGCCGGTCTCGGTGACAGCACCCGACTCGCCGTCGGTGGCCGCGATGTCGTCGGTGTCGGAGGGCCCGGAAGTTGCCGCCAATCTGGCGGTGGCTGCTGGCAATGTGTCGCCCGGGGGGCTGTCGAGCTCGGCCACCACCGAAGACCTCGGTTCCTCGGGCAAGCCGCTGGAGGACTCCTCCCCGGCGGCGGAGGTGGATGCCTGGGCGCTGGACTCGGGCCCCTCGTTGGTGGATGAGGCGCTGGATGATACGATCCCCATGGCGAGTGGTCCGCCGGGGACGGCGGCTCAGTGCATGCTGTGCTCGCGTCTTTTTGCCTGGACTGATGCCAGTCGGGTATGCTGCCCGGTTTGTGGGAGTGGCTACTCCGAAGAACCCCCCAATGGGGCTGGGGTCCCGGAGCCGGGTGCCTTTGGCAGGCCCTCGCAGTCGGCGCCGGCGGTTCCTCCGCCGAGTGTTTCGGCCCGCCTTAGGGCCCATGCCTCTGCCATTGACTTTGTCATGGATGACGCTCTTCAGCTCCAGCTGGAAACCGGGCTCCTCGATGACAGCGAGTCGATCAAGTACTTCTTTGCTTCGGGGTATGTCCATGTGGTCTGGGTGTTCCTCCTTTCAGATGGTGGGGGTGTCTCTTTCGCCGAGCCCCTGTCTACTGCACGACTGCTAACACACACACACACACACACACACACAGTGTCCTTTTCCCGGTGGAAACTACCTCTTCCTTCGCGGCTCTCGGTGCGCTGGCTCAGTCGGCAATGACCATGTCTTCGGCATCGACGGCGGCGTCGCTGGCTGCATCGGTTGCGCCTCGGCGCAGCCCGCGCTACATTGCGTGCCTTTTCAGCCAGGCAGCCTTGTACATTCAACCCTTGGGGCTCTTCCGGAAGCCGGAAGCCGAGGCGGTCGATGGGTCGGTGCCAGGATCGCCCAGCGGCACAACGACGACCAGCGATTCGGTCTCGGGGTCTGGGGCTGCATCATCGGCGCTGGGCCGTCCAGCAGGCTCGGGCATGGGTGATGCTCTGGGCGGGCACTTCTCGCAGTATCAGGCGACGGAGTTCCTCGGATCGGTCGGGGATCTGAGTGCGCATGTGGCTCGATTCTCGCTGGAGCGCCTCCGTCGAGTGGAGGTTGGCTTCAATTACCAGCAGCTAATCTTGCACTTCGAGAGTGTGGATGCTCAAATCCGCCGAACGGGCAATCGCACTCTTCGCCGGGATCTTCCGGCCATGGAATGCGAGGAGGAGGAGCGTTTGCTTCTGTTGACGCGGGATGCGCTCTTGACGTCAGACCTGCTGGCATTCGTGCGTGTGCTCCTTCTCATTTCTCTCTCTCTCTCTCTTTCTTTCTCTCCCGCCCCTCCCCGCTTCTCCTGCTGGGGCTTTTCCTTTCCCTTGACTCCGGTTTGTTTGCTGACGTGTCTCCTTCTGGCCGCCGCCACAGCTTCTGGCCCAGTCCGACGATCCGGCAAGCCTCCTGGATAATGACCGGACCTGGTGTGTGGACAATGCCAAGCACCAGGCGTTGGCCACCTTCGATCCGGCGCATGCCGATTCGTCGGACAGCTTCGTGCGGGCCTACTCCTACGCTTTTCTGGCCGGGGTGGCTGGTGGCGGCTTGAGCTCGGTTAGTCCGGAATTCTTCCAATCCGGCGAAAGCCAGCTTGTCTCGGTGGTGCGACCGATTTTCCCACATGGACCTTGCCCTGCTGCTTCTTTCTTTCATGTCCCTTTCTTTCTTTCCTCCGCACTCTCCCTGATCAGCGAATTAACTCGTCTCGCTTTCCCCCCTCCCTCATCTTCCTCTCCTTCCTCAGCTCATTTCCGATCACTGCTTCTACCTGACACTGGAAGATCTGGATGTGTACTTTGACAACCGGAAGATCAATCGCCGCGCCCAGTTCCGGCCCCTGTCGGCCCGGTTGTTGGTGAACCTGGACTCCATGGAGACTTGGGAGCCGCGCCTGAACGAGGGCCGCCTGTATTATGTGCGAATGGTCTTCAGTGATGACTCGACCGAGGTGCGTCGGGTCCTATTTTGCTTCCTGCCGCTGCTGGATCTTGAGGGCGGGTGCATTGCGGGCGGGTGCTGGTGTATCCTAACTCCCCTTGTCGTGCTGGATGGCGCAGCAATTGGATGTGCCAGAGGCGCTGGCGGAGTTCGAAAGTTTGAACTCGCCACTGCCTGGTCGGCCGTCTGTTTTCCAAGTCTTCGCGCGCAAGAAGAATCCCCCTCGGGGGCTGAGCTCGTCCAGTGGCCTGGCCTCGCCCGGCGCTGGAAGCATGCGCAACTCCGGATCGGATGAGTCTCTCTTCCCTGGCGGCGGGACTGGCAATACTGTACGACTGCTGGGGTTTGGCCGCTCTTCCTGCGAATGGTCCTTTTTCTTTGGCCCTCTCTGATGCTTCGCACTGTGACTGACCTGATCCCTCTTGCGCGGGCCATGCCTCGAAAGGTGTTCGACTTGGTTTTTACATCTCACACGGCACGCGAGAACTTCATCCAGACTGTCTCCAAGGTATGGACCAACCTCACCATGGTTCCCTTGGACATTTTCAGATCCTGAGGCAGATCACCATGCACGTTGGAGTGCTTGCCCTTTGCCCTTCCCTTGAGATGGCATTGCAACGAATATAGACCTTGCCCACATTTCATCAAGAGGGTGGTGTGTGCGTGTGTGTGCAAGGCAAAGCATGCGCGAGAAGCGGCAGGAGGAGAATGATTCCGGTCTTGCTCTGAGGACAAACATCTCCGCGGCGAAGAGCAGGCAGCCATGGGAAAAGGAGGAAAAGGCAGGAAGAGGCGCGTGTATATAAATATGTGTGTGTGTGTGTGTGTGTGTGTGTGTGTGCATGTGTGTGCATGTGTGGGAGGAAAAGGCGATAAAGATAGAATTACACACAAGCTGTCACACACACACACACACACACACATAAAAGCAGGAGTGGCGGGCGGGCGGGGAGGAGGGGCATTCCCCCGCCTAGAAGAGACCCATGCGCTTGATGGCCGAATCGTAGATGATGTTGGCCAGGCGGCTGCCAGGCGGAACGCACTGGGCAAAAACGGCACCCGGAGCGGTGTTGAGGCGGTAAGCCGAGGCCAAGCTGGAGGAGATCTCCTCGCCATTGAGGAAGCACTGGATCTTGCCGGTGATTGGGCCACTGGCCGAGGTAACAATCGTGGCTGCGGGGTTGGGGCGGCTGCGGAACTGGGTGATGATGTTCGAGTGGGCCAGCGCATCGCGGATCATGGCCCGAGCAATCGCAGCAGCCGAGACGCTGGGAACAACAGCTATTCAAGTGGAGCCAGTTTTTTAGACAGCCGTTAGAAATGGTTGATCTCGGAGGCGGGGAGGGGCATGCGAGGGAGAGAGTGTGTGTGTGTGTGAGAGAGAGGGGAAGAGGAAGCAAACGCACAGACGAGAATGCGCTCGGTCCAGCGGAGGTGCGAGCCGCGCTGGATGGCACCAGGGCGGAAGATAGAGAGACGCGAAAACCCGGCAGCGCGGAAATAGTCCTCGGCCTAAGGCGTGAAGCAGGCGCCGCAAGAGGGAGGCTGTTAGCTCGTCCGTCGGACAGGAAAGAAAGGGAATGCCGCCGAGCGAACCCCACATGCCAGAGCAGACATACCTCGCCCTTGGTCTTGGGGTAGAGGAACCAGCTGCTAGAGCTGGCACCGACACTGGAAAGGAGCCCCATATAGCCGAGATTACCCACAGCCGGGGTAATCAGCCGCTTGGAAAGGTCGGCAAAGGCATTGTTGGCCGACAGGTCAATGTGACGGAAGGCCTCCTATTATTTGGGAATGGAGTGGCATGGGCGGGGGGGGGGGGGGGAGGGGGGAGGGTTAGCCCATCATGAGAGGTGGAGAAAGGCGCAAGAGAGGCGCAAGCGCGGCATATGCATGGTTCTGGTTGCCGGAGACGCACAGCGGACCCGGCATCACCGCGAGTGGTGCCGAGGCAGGAGAAGAAGTGGTACGTGTACGGGGCGTCGGGGAAGGCTGGCCGGGAGACGGCCACGGCATTCTCATCCTCCTCATAGATGGTGGGGGCCGGCGGAGCGTCCAGGGCAGCCGGAATGTCGACGGCGTTCAGCCCCTGCAGGGTCTCGAGGATGTCCTTCTCGACCTTGATCTCCACCAGGCGACCGCGGTTCTTCTCCACCTCGACCTTCGAGTGGTAAGGACCGAAGGGGAAGATGTCGGCATCCTCGCCAGTGTTGGGGGGGATCTGGTACGGAGACCGGCCGATCAGGACAACACGCTCATAGCAGGGAGAGTTGAGGAGCTCGGCCACCAGGAACTACGGGCCCGATGGCGAAGGGGGAGAGGGGGGGGGGGGGGGGGGAGAGGGGGGAAGACCAGTCACCTGGACTCCAGTCACGCCGCACACCGCGATCGCGGGACCACAAAAGCAGGGCCCGATTGGCGGGAGATCGCAGGTACCAACGATCGGCGGGACGATCGGCGGCATGAGCCCTGGTGCCGGCGGATCGTCGCCCCTGGCGGAGCTCCCTCCACCCTGTCGGGGCCCCCCTCCTGGGGGAGGGGGAGCACGAATGAATAAATGCGACGAGGAGCAAACACGAGGGGAGGGGGGGGGGGCGGGCGGGCTCGGCGCAGGGCTCGAGCAGCGGCAGGAGGGAAATGGAAACGCACGCGACCAACGGCACCGGTGCCGCCAATGACGAAGGCGCGAAGCTTGCCACAGACGCCAGTCGTCTCGCTGGGAGGGAAAGGCTCGGCTTGGGGAACACTGATGGCGGCCTCGGACATTGTGGTGACAGCTGCGGGGTGGGGAGTGCTGGACGGAGACACAGGAGGAGGCAAGGGTCCAGAGAGGGCGAGGGGCGGAGAAAGAGGCAAAAGAGGCGCGGGAGAGTCGGGCTGCGCGTGTGCTCGTGCGTGCAAAGGGATGGGCAAAAACTGGGGCACTCTACCGAAAGGGCCCGGCGGGTCCCCCCTCGGCTGGACGCATCCCCTTGGCCTGGAGGTGAAGCCGCCTACAGATCCAGGGCATCCCTTCCGGGCGGAGCAGGGTCCCCGGGTTGGCAGGGGGCTCGGGGGTCTTGGAGGCCGCCTGTCCGGGCCAGTAACGTTGTTGGATTCCGCCTCGGCATCCAGGCCCCCCTCCCCCCCCCCCGCCGGTATTGCCGGCGCGGGCAGAAATAAACGATCTCCCAGGAGCCCCGGGCACGATCCACCTGGGCCGATTGCCGTCGTCTTTCCCAGGCCAGGGACGGGAGCCCGGCTCTCTCTAGACGCTTCGTTGGGTTAGCCCCACACGTGAAATGCCGCACGCATTTCAGGTGCCTGCCTCGCGGCCCACGGCCGATCGGGCCTGGTCGGGGGTGGGCGCCGTTTGTTGGCAAAAAAAAAAGGGAAAAGAAAAAAGGGGGGCCTGTAGAGCCCGCCCCCACAGGATGGAGTCACCGGCAAGTTGTGTCTGGATGTGGTGGCGGTCGTGTCATTACTAGCTCATTTTGCCGGGGCCGCCGGGCACGGCGGATTTGCCACCCCGCCTCGGTCCCTCTCCCAGTTCCTCCGTCCGGCCGCCCCCCCCCCCCCCGGCTGCCCCGAACGCGGGGACCCCCGGGGGAAAAAGAACAACACCCTGCCCCACGCCCTCCACGGCACCGGAACAGACCGGCGGGGGGCCTGGTCGGAGGGCCAGTGCCGACGCATCATGCTGCCAGCGCATGCCCATCGCGCAGGGGGCGGTTGTGGGCGATGGGGCAGTTTGGCTTACGCTGGCAGCTGCTCGGCCAGCCCCCGCCCCTTCCCCCCCCCCGGCCTGGATGTGACGCGCATGGTCTGGTCCGTGAGGGGAGTCCGCGCGTGTGGGCGGGAGCGCTGGCAAGGGGGCTAGGGGGCGCTTCTGAGCGGTATTTGTTTTTTATTTTTTATCTGTCCCTTCCCCCCCCCCCCCCCGGAGAAGCCGGCCAGCTAGCCAGCTAGCCAACCAGCCAAGAGGGGGGGGGGGGGGGGGCGGGGCACATGGAGCGATATCCCATTAGGATCCCTTCTCGGCCAGACATACGACACAACCAACCGTGGCATTGGCCCCATTGGCCGGGTGCACCCGGCCACACGTGCACGGCTTGACCGGACGTGGGCTGACCGAGTGGCAGGGATTGCAGTAATACTTGCCGGAGCACAGGAAAAGGGCCTCGTTGCAGCAGAAAAAGCACTTCCAGATCCAGTTGGACTGCTCGTGCTCGCACTGGGGCTTGTCCAGATCACAGAAGGCGCATAGCTGTCCTGCCTCATCCTCGCCAGCCGGCCCGGCGATCTGGCAGTCACGCACGCCCTGGAAGAAGGGATGCTGTGGTTTGGGGATGGGCAGGAGGGATAGATAGAAAAGAGGAGGGGAGGGGGGGGGGGCGTGAGAACGGTGGGCAGGGAGGCGGGGGAAGAGGCGAAAGAGGGGCTCGGCAGACGCGGCAAAGGACAGGGTATTTCCCCCCTCGCCCACCCACCCACCCAACAAGAGTGCGCACCTTGCACCGGGTGCAGAGCGAGAAGATGTACCGCGAAAGATAGTCCGCCACCTCGGTGAGGACCTCCTCGTTGGCTAACTCGGGCCAGGTGTCTTCGGCAGTGGTGTTCTGTTGGTCGGCGGCGATGAAGCGCTCGGGCAGGGGCTCCCCGGTGTGCTGGAGGTACTTGATGAGAATTTGCATGCTCGGACGAATGTGGTTGCGGAGACAGGACGAGGCCAAGGCCGCCAGGGAGGCCGGATCACGGAGGAGATCCACCCCGAGGCCACGCCGGCAGGAGGGACAGCGCAGGCACCCGGCATCGACGCGGCTGCCGGGGTTCATGGAAGCCGTCAACATCTCCTCCAGGCAGGCAACATGCAACGAATGCAGGCAATTTAATGTGATGATGGGGGTATCAGATGCGGGCCAGCTTTCAGGGTCCAACAGCAGGTGAAGGTAGGTCCGGTCATCCTCATTCGGGAACAGGTCGTCCAGGGCCTTGGTGAATTCGGCCACCAGGCCCGGGCGCCGGAATGCCGCGGGATCTTGAATTTGAAGGAAAAGCTCATAGCGACCATCGAAGAGGCGCCGAAGGAGCTCCCGGCTGCGCGCCTCGCCGCCCTCATCGAAGGGATGGAAGTCCATCGGCTGCTCGAGGCACACCACGCATTGGGTAAAGCGCTCGACCATTTCGCGATGCTCATTGAAGCGCTGGAGGAGGTCCTGCACAAGGGTATCAAAGAGGATGTCATGCTGGCGGACTTCCTGCTCCTCGGCATGGTGGATCTGCCCCAGCAGGGCGTCGGCCGTGGTGGCCAGGCTCCGGCTATTCTGGGTGACGAGCTCCTGCACCCGGCTGAAGTTGCCGATGAGCCGGTCCTCGGAGGCCAGAGACCGCTCAGCCGGCGACAGGCCGGTCGTGTCAACGGGAGCCGCCACGCTGTGGCAAATGTTCATGTGTGACAGCTGGGCCGCCACCTGGCCTGTCCAGGCGCCAGTGCGTTCGATACACTGGGCCACTGTCCGGATGGCGGCCAGGCGATCGGTCAGTGAGGGATTGGCCGCCAGGGATAGAAGGGCCACGGTCATGTCGGAAATGAGCGAGTCCACCGCGAGCGAGGGCTCGACCGCCTGGGCTGGCGGATTCAACAGCTCATCGGTGGCCGGAGGAGCGGGAGTAACCGACAGCTCGGCCTCCGGAGGGGTGAGCTCCGGCTGGGGATTGGCCTTCATGACATCGAGGGGCGCCGGGTGAGCGGCGACTGGAGCAACAAGGGCCTCGGCGGACATGACTCGGAGGAGGGGCGAAAGACGAAGCAAGGAGCGAGGAAATCGTGTGTTTGTGGCTGAGTGAACAAAAGGGACTGGAGACACATGGTTGACATCTCAGGTGGGTGCTGGCTTAAAGGGACATGATCCGGGGTCGGGGAAGCCGCCACAAGAAGAGACCCCGGAGCCAGGGGACTGCCATTGGTCAGTGCCACGGACCTGCCTCAGGGTGGACCATGAGCACCGGCCCCACGCCACACACACACACACACACGCACATGCGCACAGGGACACGCCAGACACACGGGGGGGGGGGGAGGGGGGGCGGGCGGGCGAGAACGAACAGTGGAGGAGGGGGGTGTCCAGCTCGCCTCCGATCACTTGGGACCTTGGAAATTTAGAGGCGGGGCATGTGCCCGTCCGGGCACCGCGCTCCCTCGGGCAGCTGCCCGATTCGAATGCGTCCCCAACCGGGCCCCCAGTTTGGATGAGGGGGAAAGGTGCGCGCCTGTCACGAGAACATATCTGTGGGATCAAATTGATGATGGAACACAGCAACGTGACCCTCGGGCTGGGGTCGGCTCGCGTGAGAGGGTGGCCGTGTGCCTTTCCCGACAAGCAAGGGGAGGGGAAACACACGAAAAGAGGCAGCGACACAACGCCGCGGCGGACCCGAGGCTAAAGAAGGGGGACGCGCCTCGGGCGCCTGGAGCTGTGGAGAAATGCAAAGCATTGGCAAACGGCGAGTCACATGGTTGATCAGGTACAGGACCACTACAGCCGCCGCTCCGGGCTGGGCTCGATCTCCCGGCCTCCTGCCGACATCTGCCGTGAAAAGCCTGAGAAGCGGGCACAGCTCCCGGATGACGCTCCATGGATGAGCCATGCCGCCCCCCTCGCCTCCGCCCCCTCCCCCCGTGGCCCCTCTCATACATGGGCATCCCCTCACAAGCAGAAGAGAAACGTGCGATCTAAGGAGAAACACATGGGCGCCATTTCCAAAGGAGACGGGACTGAGGGAAGCAACAGAGACGCTCTTATTTGGAGGGGGAGGAGGAGGAAAAGAAGAAGGAACAGGGAGGGGGGGCAGGGGCAATGGGCTGACCCGTGCCAAGTCTATCACACCTCAGTACCCAGGAGGGCGAATGATCGGCTTGTTTTCATAATCCTCCTGCTCCAAGTCGAGGTGGCGCTGAAGCTTCTGTTGTACGCCGGTGAGGAGGAAAATGGGTGTCAGAGGCGGGGCAGGGAGGCTGAACAGACAGGAGGCGGAGAGGGAGAGAGAGAGAGAGAGGGAGGGAGGGGGGGAGCGACGATGGCAGGGGAGGGCCACAGCCACGCACGAAGTACTCCTCCTGGATGTTGAAAACCGGCCGAGGAGCATCCGGATCTTGAGCCTTGACCTTCTTCCGGGCCTCGGCCGAGGCGAACATGGTCAAAACCTCCGGGTCAATCTGACGACGTGAAGCGCAAATCGGCCGTTAGAAGGGGGCGGGGCGGGGCGGGGGGATCGGGCCGGAAGGGAGACAGGAAGAGGGACAGCGGGGCGAACTGGGTGGCGGTGGAGAGGTGAAGCAGGCCCGGAGGAGGGTGTTGTGAGGTGCGCGACGCACCAGGCGATTCCGATCCAGGCGATCCATCTTGGCCTGCATAAAGGTGGACAGCTGGATGGACCCGAGCACAACGAGGAGGATAAATGGCAGGCCGAAGGAGAGGAAGGGATTCCCCCGAGTAAAAGTGCGCAGACGATCCGTCAGACGCCGGGACTGGCTTTCGCGCATGAACTCCTCCATGGCCTCCTGCTGGACCACATGCAGGTACTTGGGCGGCATGGGCAGCGGCTTCTCTTTGGTGGCAAGTCGCCGAAGCCAGTAAAGAGGTCCAGACATGGTGGGCAGCTGTGGTGGATAGGCGGCGAAGGAGGAAAGATGGGGAGGGGCGATTGGCGGGGCGGG